GAGTTAGCACGAACTGAAACTATGATCTGCTAGAAACTCGTAATCAAGTATTAAAACCTTACGATTTAGAAGTGTTTGAGTTCGGCGCTGCAGTCATTCACATATCAAGAATAAAATGTTCCTGTATATGCGATTATTAAATATGAATCTAAGTGAAAGCACTTAAATGGTTCAAAAAAATATTGATACTGTTGCTCTTTTTAAGTTTATCATTGAACTGACTCTTAAAACTGTAGAATTAAACATTTATGAGATAAACTATTGCATGAGATAATTCAAAGTACATGTAATATTCAAGGTCAATTTAAAAGTCACGAGTCATTCTAAAATCTAAATAATAATTTTGATATGAATGTGTAAGAGTACAATATCAATATCAATAAAAATTACATTTAGGTAATTGTGAAAAATAATATTGATACATTTATTTTAAAAATTCAATAAGTTATAACATTTAATAATTTTTGCGGTAAATGTGTAATGTGTACAAATATATATAATATCGTAATTAGAATTTCATAAAACCCATTTAAAAATTATTTATAATACTTATTTATAATATTAAATATAATATTTATTTAATAAATATAAAATATAACAATTATATATAACAAATGTTCTTGAAAATATACTTTATAAATTTAATAAAACAATATAAACTTTTAATATTGGTATTTGGTATTTTTTAATTTTAAATTGTTATCAACAAACTTATAGAATACTTCAAAATGTGATTTTTTAAAAATTTAGAAATTTTTTTAACTGTAAAATAGAAAATATAAAAAAAATTTTTGAAAGTAATTGAATTATTGTAGATGCAAATTGTAAGCACTTTCCTAAATGAAATAATAATTATATACAGACACATATATATGATATTAAATTTATACTTTGTTTTTTAATCCTATATATTTACAAAAAATTTATTAGTAAATACTACTGTACAATTAAAATGTATATATTTAAAAAATATATTATATATATTTTTTACTTTTATTATATATATGTATATATTTTTTAATCTATTTATATAATCATTTCATATTAAAGCTATATTATATATTAATTGATTATAAAAATTATTGTGCTTTTTTTATTATCTTCTTTATGCTATAATACATTTGAGAACTTTTTTAATGATTAAATTATGCAACAGACAAACTTCCACCAGCTTTAGAAATTTTAGCAATTTCTTCCTTGAATTTAGCAATTGTTTCCTTTGCTAATGTCAATTTTTCCTTAAGATCTATGACTTCCAATCTTATTTTATTTCTTGCTTCTATTATTGCTTTCATTGTAGATTCCTTTTTAGCTTCAACTACATAATAAAATAAAAATAATTTTTATATATAAAATGTTATTACCTAAAATAATTATTACTTACAATCTGTATTATGACGCCAAGCACCAAGAGTTATAGGTCTATTAGAATTCAATAAATGTTGCATTAAAGCTGTTGGATCTTGAAAAACTATTTCTTCATAAAATTCAGACACTAAACTTTTTTTTCCCAATTGTATCTCAGGTGTTGTTTGGAACAGTTTTAATATGTGATATATGGTTACCTATTCAAAGCATAAATAATTTGAAATTTATATTATATGATATGAAAATTCTTATATTATATTTCATATATTATAATTCATATATTTAAAATTATAAAGAATATACACACAGGACGTTCATTAGGATCATGAAAATATATTTTAATAACTATTTCAAATTCTCCCCAACCAGTTTCAGTAAGTTCATAAGGCGGTTTAGTCATAATACGATTGGGATTGTTATAACTTTCATGTAATTTAAAATGTACTTTTTTAACATATGTAGACATGTCTTCATTATGATATGGTTTAACATATACAGTCCATTGATGAGTATGTCCATCTTCTTCTCTTTTTTTACCAAAATATCGAGCTACATTACCATATACAATTGGTTTTACTATTGTAACTCCCTAAAAATATACTCAATAAAATTTGAATAACTATTTATTCTTTTTTAATTTTATAACAATATAAAAAATTGAATAATTATTATTATATTTAAAATTTATTTATTATTTTATTTATATGTGCACAGGTTAGAAATATAAAAAGTGATAAATTTTTCATAAACTATTTTTAAAAATTTACCTTAACTCTACCACCAGAATCAGGACCAAATTCATTAGTTGTTGCCATCATTGTCATTAATTGTGTTCTTCATTATATAGTTTAAAAGTAAAGCAAAAATAAAATAAAATATCAACAATAACATTAATGTTAACAGGGTTATCTATTCACTACTAACTTATTAGTTGTGTTTTTCATTATATAGTTTAAAAGTATAGAGCAAAAATAAAATAAAATATCAATAATAACATTAATGTTAACAGGGTTATCTATTCACTACTAGCGCTCTCTAGTGTAGCATCAATAATACTAAAGATGTTTATATATCATAAAAAAGAATAATATTCAAAAATTTATATTTATTTTAGATATTAAAATTAAAGAACAGATTATTGATTTCAATAATACATGTATTTTCTTGTCATGAAGGGCATTAAAAAAATATGTACACTTTTCTTAAAATAAATTATACTTCAAAAAGTTTTCAATCTTTCACACTGCATAATTTCGACAAAAATATTTTGGGATCTATTCCCTCATATCAGCAATTAGATTATCATGTAAGGCGATTAACTTTTTTTGAAATATAATATAATTTTTGTTCAATGCAATAGTTTCTATATAATATATTTAATGATTCAACTATTTTTGACTATATACAGTTCAATAAATCGATAATCGCCGAAACATGATAAAATATTTTCGTAAAATACAATAAACATCATTATATGTATAACCACTATATTTTTTAGAAATTATAAATATGGGAATCAACTTTCTTTTTCTATTGATAATTAATAAACAACACAAAATATATAGCAAATCAAACACTACAAACAAATAATTTCAAATATAATTCTAATAAGATTTTTTGAAATTTTGTATATAATAATAATAAAATTCTAAATTGAAACTAATTTATATAAGTGGTTATATATTCATTTTAATTTTTACAGGATTCTTTTAATGATTTTAATTAATAAAATATTTATTTTTTCAAACATATTTTTGAAAATCTAAAAATCAAAATTTAATATACTGTAACATTATACTGTTAAAAAATTGAACAAAAAAGAAATCTTTGATCATCTAACTCGTATAGAAATAACATCGCTTGCTGTCAGATATATTTCGTCTAAAACTTTTTAAAGTGTAGAAAGCTAAATTAGATGCTCGTTGCATCGTGCAAAGGCAGCCAGCTGCCGAAAGAATGCTATCTTCAGCATCTCGTAACGACGATTAAAATTAGCTCTGTTATGCTACAATGTCGTTGTTATCACGTGCGAAGCAATTTTTCTTTTCTTCGGAATCGTTCTTCAAGATATCCTGGGATCTGAAAAGAGTTTCATAAGGACCGTTATAAAATTTGCACAATGGTCCATATGTAAACAATATTCTACTATATTCTTCTACGTTTATATAACAGAAAAAAGAAAAATCTAATTCGCATATAAATTATTAAGCAGGATTTAATAAGTTTTATAATCACGTCGTACCGCTAAAATATATATCACATATATGTTTTTTATGTGCATGTTTAAATCATAATATAAATATAAAAAAATTTTATTTTTATCTTCACAGTATTTACAAATTATAATGATCAACGTTCATTCAAATAAATATTTACCGCAAATATATAACTTTATTAAATAAATTGTAATAAATTCTTGTGTACGTTTTATAATGGCGATATATTTTAATTATAGATCTATATAATCTATTTTAACAACAAACTTGACATTAATAATATATGTGACTAATCATCATAAATTAATATTTATCATTAAATGCAATATATACATTTACACAAAATTATTTTTATGTGTTACTATTACAATATAATAAATTAAATGTGTGGGTATCTGAAATTATAAACTCATATGAAATCGCAATTCCGATAATTTGAAATGTTCCAATATTCATGATTCAGATATTTGCACATCTCTAATAGTAATAATTACGAAGTGGTACGACGTCTCAATTCTAATCTAATAAATCTCCATGTTAATCTAATAAAAAAATGCATGCAATATAATCTTTAATTTATAAAGCTTATTAAATTAAATAACTTTTAGGATATTAAATTAAGATTAGATACGAGAGAAAGTAGTCCCAATCCACTAATAGTCAGGCATTCTGAGAACATTAAAACATAAAAAAGGAATTGAGGTATTTTATTTTAAGAGCAGCAAGCAAAATAAGAAATGTCTCAATTTTTTCTATTTTTGCTTAATAAAAGGATATATTTACAAATGAGAAAGCAATTGTTAATATTCAATTCTAATTGTGTCTACCTTTGGTTTTGGTCGATGTGTGTCCACTGCATCAATTGGTAATCGAATATGTTCCATTTTACAACCATAAGCAACAGGCGTTAATTTAATAATAGTATGTAATGGAACTTGTAAATATGGTAATTCATCTAGAAAAAAAAAAGAATATAATCTATTTAGAATAAGAAAACTTTAGAAAATGAAAAAAAATGTTTGAATTATAAAATAAAATAAGAAACAAAATCACTGTTAAATTGTTAAATAATGATTTGAAATTTCGAATAGATTGCGATTACGAAACACAAGAACAAATTACGTTTATATTTTGCGCAATTTATATCAATAAAATTATGTAAACAAAAATTACATAAGAATGTCTTGTTCTTAACATCTAGTTATTTTTACATATTTATTTTTCTAATTTATTTCAATTCATAGAAAGTCAAAAATTACAAAACAATTTCGATATTTGTTATTCAAATATATAAATACATCTTGATTTAATATAAATATATATATAAATTTATTTAATATAAATATAAATAAATATATCTTGTTTACGCATTTTATCTATTGTTTTTCTATTGTTTATGGAATAGTAATATATTTAAGATATATTTACCCGCATTTTTGTCTAGGAAGTAAGCAAGTAGACATCGTAAAACTGCTTGGTGGCTAACAACTAGAACATTACCTTGTCGTTCTAGTTCCATTATTACCGGTTCTAGTCGTGCAACCAAATCTTCATAGCTTTCCCCTCTTGGATAACGATAAGAGAATTTATTTTGATCTCTTGCAGCAAAATCTGTTGGATACTTTTCTGCAATTTCTTCATATGTCATTTCTTCGCAAATACCCTATGTAAATATTTTATTAGTTTAATTATTAATTTTATGTGCAAATATTTTATTATAATAAAGATAGAAGATATTTATTAAAAAATAAAACAAAAATGATTATTTTTTATAACTTACTGCATCAATCTCGTTTAGCGCCTTCCACCTTTCTTGAGGCGCATTCACGTCGCTTGCTGTTTGAATGGTTCTCTTCAGCCAACTAGTCCATACTCGCAGTCCCTATAATCATAAAAAATATTGTTTTCTTCTTTTTAAACAAGAGATTTCTCTCTTTTATCCTATACCTGAATATCTTGGCTAGTAATATAACTAGACAATGCTTTGGCATATTCCCAACCTCTTTCGCTTAATTCTGAATCTCCACCTATTTTACTTTCAAGGTTCATCACACTTTCGCCGTGCCTAGTTAAATAGATTGTACGTGGCACTATATGGATATTCATAAGATAATAAACTATCCTACTTTGTATATGACCTTCATGTTTATGGACTAGCACTTTTTCGCCAGTGTTGTAAATTTTCATAAAAGAAAGGTCGCTTTCTTGAGCTTCATCCAGGGGTTGATATTTTTCTTGATAATGTTCAATTCGCAGCATGAAGTCTGCCAATACTTCTTCTTTATTCATATTTGCATAATCTGGACTACTCACTTTTACCTAAATAAGTAAAAGTTTAATCATTTATGATCAACATTCATCAGTATTAAAATTAGTCTATAATACTATAAATAAAAAAATTCAATAAAAATAAAAATAATATTTAAAAATAACATGATATTTAAATCTGTACATTAATGCAAATTAATAATATAATTATTATTAAATTCAAATGATTTTAGAAAAAGAATTCTTACTTCCATGATATTTTGTTCAACAATTTCAGGATCGTTACAAACAGACTCGACAAAAAAAAGTTTAAATCCCATTTTCTCAACTACAATGTTTCTAATAAGTTGTCGTCTTTCGATAGTGGAATTGGTGGCATCAAATACAGCCACTTCTCCGTCTCCACTTTCCAACCATTGGCAAACATCTTTAAGGGCATCCATTGCACACTGAGTACGTATTGCCATTGCCTTAATATTATCAGGACGGAAAAATTCATGGCATTGATAAGCAGTAGTTGCATGTCGTCTATATTCCCCTAAATTGAACACCTTTGTACTTATACCGATCCAATTGAGATATCTGCATAATTTTTTTGAAATATACGTCTTGCCACGTGCAGGCAATCCTACCATAGCAATCACATGCGGTTTATTTACAAAATTAGCTCGTTCGCCTGCAATTATCAAGCATTATAGATAAAAAAAATTTCATTTTATTATTGTTAATCATTTTAAAAAAGTATTAGATTTAATTTTATTGAATTATAATTATATCATTTATTGTAATTAACTAATTATTAGAAATTATTTCAATCATCAAGAGGGAAACTTTTTTTAAGAGTGATTATCAACGATATTGTTTATCTAATAAAATAGAACAACTGATTTCTGATAATATCAATTTGATATCTTGTTTGATATGTGTACAAGATAAGTTTTTTATTTATCTTATAAAATATAATAAATACGTAGATATATTTATCTTTATTATTTTCATAATATAATGATATAATACTGTTCGTTGAAAATAAAAAAATTATCATATCAAATATTTAACTGCATTTATTAAAATATTTTATAACTGAATATAATTTCATGAAGACTAGGTTCCGAATTGGTTACATTTATATCATTTGTTTCCAACATGCTTTAAATTTATGATATTAAAATGAATCTAAAAAAATTTATATAATTTTAAATTAGTTTTTTTTCATTATTAATGATAACTTATTTATTTTTGCCAGCTTAGAATATTAATTAAAATGTTTTTATCTTCTTTATGAAATTACTGTTCAATAAACATAAACGTGTGCCATCACTATTTGTTTTTCGTCAATCTTTTTAGATTAATTTTATCATTTAGTTGTTTTTAATAATCGACGAAAGACAATTATAAGAAAAAATGTTTATAGTAAAATCATTTTGTATCAAAAAAATTACAATTTATTTATTTAAAAAATCAGTGAAACTTTTATAATTACCTTTGACATAACATTAATATTTCATTATTGATATTATTTTGTACTATGAGTATTTTTAAAAATGTATTTTATATAAAAAATATTCAAATCTTGAAAATTTACTAAAGTATATTTCATACAATAAAAATTTTCAAGTGCTAAAAAAAGTTTTTAACTTTTGAAAAATTTTGGCCAATCGATAATTTGTTTTCATAACAAAATATTAATGATCCACACTTTTATTTAATACATGAAAATTTATTTTTACAAATTAATCATAAGAATTAATCATTTAAGAAAATCAAGTTTAAGGCATTTTCTGTAATATCAAATATACTACTTTATATTGGTTTTAATTTCGTTTTGCTATAGATTTCAATTAATTCGATTTTTTATATACTTATATTATCTAAATACTGACATTTATGTAAATGCATGCGGTTAGCACATCTTTTCAGGTTATGTTCTTCCAAAATAATAATGAAATATAGTGAATAATTTATATAAATAAAAATATATATTTTTATATAAAAGCCAATATTTCGTAAGATTTTAATCGAAAAGATATTAATAAAATAATGACAAGTTTTTAATAAATGTATTCATTTTTTAATGGTCTGAAGTTAGCTTTTAACTTATTTCTTAGATAAAATTGAATACATTGTATAGCATTTTATAATATTAGAAAAAATCAGAAAATAAAAATTCAAAATATTCAAATTAAATAAAATTTTAAAATCTGAGAAAAATTATATTTTTTCTAAAATATCTTACCACGAATAGGAAAAGGTTTTGTTTGAATAGTATCCGAACTTGGTGGTGTGTAATGCATTTCGATTTTCGGATCAGTCATCCTATGACACCATGTAGATATTCCTTTTCCAATCAGCACTATATTTTTATATACTACTTTTATATACACCTATTTCACTAATGTTTATTTATTAAAAAAAAAAAATTGAATCTCAATTTCATCAAATCAGAGTACATTTGGTATATGCCACTCATTAAACACGCATAAAAATTTGTTACGTTAATTCCACTGTCACTGCAGCTTCATTCTATAATTTATATTTATAATATGTCATCATATACTAAATTTTGTATTATTGTAAAATAGCTGAAAAAAAAAAGAATTCAAGAAAAGTACTGTAATAGGAAATTGTAAGTTATTTTATACTGAAGTGAAATAAAGAGAGAAGAGAGAGAAAACACGCACCTACCGTTCATTGGAAAAATCCGAACATTAGTACGCGCCGCGCAACGCATATTCCTTAAATCTTATAGCGATTATTATTACGTACAAATTGTAGTGCGGGGAAATCGTTTTACCAGTAATTCTCATTAAGTGGATCCGTTTTCTTTTGTAAAATAAATTTCAAATGCTTTTTGATTTTCATAAAAACTATTAAATTTTTGTTTTACAAATAAAGTATATTTTTTCAAGAAAATATGATCAATTATAAATGTTTCGTTAAAATGATAAAATATCGTTGGTTTGAGTTGGATTTTTGACAAAGACCACTGTTATAAGAGATACCTCTGACCAGTCCGTAGCCTCGAGAACGATCACGCGACTTCTTTTGACGTCACTTGTTCTTTTCTAACCAATTCTTTCTGGTTTAATGCAGAAAAGTGTAAAATAACTGAAATAAAAATGTTTTATATTTTGTTACATTTATTATTAATAATTTTTATCAAATATATAAATATTATATGATATTCAATAAAAATGAAAAATGTATGAATGCAGCACTTGTTTCCGTAATCAATAAAAAATATTCAAAAAAATAATAAATAGAAATATATGATTCTGAAAAGTTATTATAATATAACATAATTTAATATAACTTTTATAGGAACATAAGATTGATTTTAAAAAATTCTTTTTTTAAAATATTAAATTATTATTCTAGGGACATTAGCGTATTTAAGTTATAATTTATCATTAAATTTTTTAAAATTTTTTATTTGCATAAAATTAAATACACAATTATATGCTTATTAATAGTTTGATAATATTAATTAAAAAAAATAAAGATAATAAGATATACACACATATTTAATAATTCTTTTTAAATTATAAAATTTGATAACAGAAAACAAAAAAGATTAACTACTTACTTTAGGCGCCAATATTACAGTTTGGTAAGGTGCCGGTAGAGTGCCCGGTACTCTGGTCAATTATCGGTATTATCAATTGCAGTCCAGTAAAGCACAACGACTGTGGTCTTAGAAAAAAATAGCAAAAATTGCTTGATAAACATCTTTTAAGAAAATATTTAAACAATTCAAGTTTGTCATCGATTAAGGTAAGAAATATTTTAAACTTTACATTGACATGTGACGAATGAAACTTCAGGGATTTAGAATCGAAATGAGCATTCCTAAAATTGGGCGTGTGGCACCGCCTTTTTCACTATTCTTTATTCTGATACATTTATGTGTTTTCTTATCATTTTAGCTTTTCTCTACTAATTAAATATAACAAATAATATCACAATTTGCAGAAATTTATATATTTTTCTATATTTTTATTACATTTCATATTCGTATTTGAAATCAGAATATAAACATAATGAAAAAATTAAATGTCACTGTATATCAAAATATTTTTAGTTGAATTCTACTTATATTTTAATAATTATAAAATCATAATTAAATTTTATAATTTATATGTTGTATTAATTTATTTATATATAATATTTTTAATTAAGTTTTAAAGAAAAATGATTAATTTGTCATTATTGATTGATCAATTTTTTATCTTTATATATAATACGTAATTTAGAAGAAAATAACAATTTATTACAAATACATTATTTATATGAAAGTTCATTGTGATAAAAAGTATTATATTTCTTTGATGCTATAAATATGATACAAATCAATAGATAAAATTAATTTGTACCATATATAAACAAGCACAATATAAACAAAATAGATAAATCTATATTTTTGATTATCCTGTTTTTAGATTTCTTATATTGACAATAGCAATTTCATTTCTCTTTTTGTTTAATATATTATTTTTTAATAATGCTTATATATAGAAAAACTTTTTAACATCATAAATATATGATATATGATATTTGTACAATATATATGAATTTTTTTGTATTATAATATCAAAATTTATTCATTGATTTCAGAAAAATATACCAAAATGTCCAAAAAACCAGGTACTACTCAAGCAATGCATAAGGTTATAATGGTTGGAAGTGGAGGTGTTGGAAAATCTGCTCTCACATTACAATTTATGTATGATGAGGTATATTGATCTTATAAAAAAACTTATAGATAATAAATTATATTATTAATTTATTGATTTCTTTTTACATATAAATTAGTTTGTGGAAGATTATGAACCTACAAAAGCAGATTCTTATAGAAAGAAAGTTGTGTTAGATGCGGAAGAAGTACAAATAGATATATTAGATACTGCAGGACAAGAAGATTATGCAGCAATTCGAGATAATTATTTTCGAAGTGGAGAAGGATTTCTTTGTGTATTTTCTATAACAGAGGATGATAGTTTTCAAGCTACGCAAGAATTTAGGTGAATAATAAATTATTTAAATTATAAATATGCATGTAATTTTCAAAACAAAATTATGTAATTTTATATATTTAGGGAACAGATCCTTAGAGTAAAAAATGATGAAAACATTCCATTTTTACTAGTGGGAATAAAAGTGATTTACAAGAAAAAAGAAAAGTTGGTTTAAATGAAGCTCAAGCCAGAGCAGAACAATGGGGTGTACCATATGTAGAAACAAGTGCAAAGACAAAAGAAAATGTTGATAAGGTAATTTAATAATTAAATTTTATTTTTTTTTTATTATATATATATATATGTAGGTAATAATAAGAAAATAAATGTCTTTTATATAGAAAATTAATATTATTAATAATTTTTTAATAATATTAAATAATATAATTTGTTACAAATGATTGATTGATTATTTATGTAAAAAAATTGTATGTAAAAAATGCACATGCATCATTAAGATATCTTTATATTATCTCTTAAATTTACAATAGTTTTTAGCATACAAGAATTGCATGAGACTTATTTAATTAGCTTAATTTATCATTGTATGTTTTCTTTGCTATATATATATACATCTTGTAGCTTTTGCACACATTTCTTTTGTAATGAAAAATATTGATACAAATATAAAATTAATATATAAAGATAAATTGCATTTATTTATATTTGTAAAGCACATTTTTCAAGCCTTGAAGCTTTGAGATGGCATCAATTGCACATTTGCAGGTATTTTTCGACTTGATGCGTGAAATAAGATCGCGCAAGATTGAAGATAAATCAGCAAGCAACGGTCGTGGAAAGGACCGTGCCACAAGGAAGAAAAAGAAGTGCAAAATTCTATAGGTTTGCTGCTTTTTTCGCACTGTTTTTAATCTTTTATAAATGGAAAACTGGAGAATGATTTAGAAATTTTATTATTGCAGTATTCTTTTCACTTTTTTCTGAAATTTAAATAAATATATATATGTGTGCAATTATCATCAGGTAACAATTATATCAGAAGTATCAACTTTCTGCAAGAGTGTCTCTCACAGGCACGTACAAAAAAAAAATTTCTTACATACAATTCGCTTTTTATGTTGTTTCTATTCTAGCTTATGCTTGAAATATTGCATATGCATGTATAAATTCAATTCAGTATCACTTTTTATTAAATTATAAAGGCACAAACTGACTTTTTCTGTTAATTAAAAATTTATTAAAATGAAAAGAATGGGAATGAACTCATTTTCATATGAAATATAGCTTATTATGACGCATGGTTATTTTGGATGTATATTACAATATATAAAAAATATTATCATATTATATTTTTGCTCATACAATATATTTTATATTACATTATATATGTAATATATAATACATTTTATATTACATTAATAGAACTTAAATAAGATATATGAATAGAAAATAAATTCTATTTTTGTTTTAGTATTGATAATATATAGCAAAGTTATTATAATTTCGATTTTTAATACTAAATAAATAGAAATATGAAATGAAAATTAACAGTTTTTTTGTCTTCCATTACAGGTATTTTTTGATTTAATGCGTGCAATAGCTGCACGTAAAGCGCAAGAAAATCAAGGAGATGGAAGTGAACGTAAGAAGAAAAGAAATTGCTGTATTTTGCTCTAACAAATGTAAAAGAAGCTTTTATAATGGAACGTTCGACTTCTAATTGAAAAAACCTGAGTAAGAGAAGTGTATTTGTATACATACATACATATATACAAATATATTATACAAATGCATCATATATATATATATACACATACAGAAGAAAGTTTTCTGACACTTTACAGTGAATTGACACTAAAAATAAAACAATTGCATTAAGAACACATAATTTACATATTATTTAATAATTATTATATTAATAATTGTAAACTTATACTCTTTTTCATCAAACTATTAATTGTTTAATTTGTAATGCACTGGTGCATATAATTATAATTCATACATACAACCGTTAATTTATGTCATATTTTTGTAATCATTAAGAAAGAGTAAAAGTTTTAAATAATGCACAAAGTTATATTATACATTAATGACATAATTTTTTAATTTTTCATTATTATTGGAGTGCTGAAATATATATAGTTATTCAATTAATATAAAAAAGAAAAAGAAAAGAGAAATGCAGAGAAAATATGCATAAGAAAAAGATTATATGTATGTATACATACATGTGCATGTAATATATATGTATGTATATATACATATTATATATATATATATATATATATATATATATACACACACATTATTATTATATTATTA